CTTCAATTTTCAGTATTCGGTGCCAGTTATGGAATGAGAAAATGGGTCATGCTTTCAAGCTCCGCCGCCGTGGGTGTTCATGCGTGCAGGCCGTCATCACTAGGCCTGGTAATGGCTGTGTTAAGTGAAGATTTTACAAGCAGACGGATTTTTAGCAGATAATTAATTTTTCGAGCAAAGCAAAGAGATTTCGGCTGAGTTGTTTGCAACCATTTTTAAGGATTGTTTTCGTTTCTGTCAGGTTAAGATTTTTGAATATTTGCGAACTTAAGATTTTATGTATTTGAGATATTTCAGAGGAGAGTTTACGTTCTTTGGACTCCTAATAATCTGACATTCCCTTGGCTTTAAGAAAATAATGATGTGAAACACTACGAAAATCTTAATTAGTATTTTGCAACTTGTAGTGGGAGATGATCACAAGCCTTGGCATGGGCTTGTTGTTGTTTAGGTGACGTTGATGATGTTGCACACACCGACCCGTTTGGCCCGAGCCTCCGTCTGCTGTGTGCGCCGCGCACTCAATCAGTCCGCCTAAAGTGATGAGGATTATCATTTAGAACGCAGTAGGGACTTTTGTGTAGATTCGTTTCTAGCGAGGTAAACTTTCATTGCATCTACCTAAATCATCGCAAGTCTGACATGTCCTATAACAAGACATAGCTGGACATTACCTTACAGGATCTCTGGGGGTGTATGGAAATTTAAATCAGCGGAACTGTTATAAGAGCCACAATAGGAGGGATCATATACAGCCTGACCCTTAGTAATATCCCCTTCAGTTGGCAACTTTTCAAGCCCCGATTTTTAGTTCGTCGTGGCAGGCTGAGGATCCGTTTTATTATTTAAGTGAGCAATTTTATCGATAACGCATACTGATTCGGTCGCGCTCTGGTGCACTTCGCTGCGATCGACCATGCTACTTCCTGATTACAATGTACGATCTCAGTGGAATCAAGTTGACGCAGTGCCTACGATGCTGGCGGTAGCTGTCGTTTTTGTCTTCGCTGCATGCCCAGTCAGGACTAAAAGTTGGAGCCCAAGTCAGAATGGGGTTTGATAAATGATTTTACCGACCCTCAGTTCTGGTTAGGACGGAGTTGCCCCTGGGTTGGCAACATCTAAAGTCCTGAACTTAGTGCAGTGCGATTCCTTCAACGGTAGTCGGATAGTTTTTAATGAGTGAATAAACATGTTGCGGAAGCCCGGTAGCTATGATCCTCAGACTCGACTCGAATAGACAGAGGAGAAGTCAGACACCAGTAAATAAAGGCTTGCACTATGTACACAGAATTATTATCTAATACGCGTGAGGAAGTTAGCAACTGGAAGAGTTAACATCTCCGGTACCGAGATAGCAGGTAGATATCATAGCGTCCAGAGAGAGATGTCTGGTTCGGCCTTGAAGTTGATTGGTCTGGTCAGATAGATGAGACTGACAGAGGACCCGACTGACCTGCGAGGAAC